AGGAAAATCCATTATACCTCCAGTGGCAATCCATTCCATTTTTGGAGGCTCAGTTACTTTCTCGTTCCTTCCTACTCTCTGTAGACAATTTTTTTTTTACTCAAACCTAAATTTGTCTCTTTATATCATCCAATAAAATTTTGACCAATTTCTCCTACTTCTAAGTCATGCAGGGTCAAGTGGAATAAATCTTACCACTTACTACAAGACAACCTTTCAAATATTTAAAGATGGCTTTTATGTCTCTTCTAAGGTTTCTCTTAACATGCCTAGCTTCTTGAAATACGGCAAGGTGCTGAGATTCTTCTAGTTGCCCTCTCTGGATAATCTCCACCTCATCAGTTTTTCAGACAGAATTAACTGTTAAAGTAATTTCCCTTACTGAGTTAATTAGGTTCTGGCCTCAGATTTTATTGGTGTAAGGAATTCCCAGCATGGAAATTCCCTTCAGAGGTTCAACTCAGCAACTTGTCAGTAATAATGGCCTCAAAATTAAAAGGTTAAATGATTTGCCAATGGCCACGAAGTTAGTATGTTTTGGAGAAAGTATTTGAACCGAGGTCCTCCTGACTCTAAGGCTCTGACTCTTTAATCATCATGCATGTTGCTTTTTTTTCTTTTTTACTGTGTTGAAACAAAATCTCCCTCTGAAACTTCTACCCACTTGTCTTAATTCTCTTCTCTGGGAGCTACCAGAGTTTGTCCAGTTTTTCCACCAAATGATTGCCCTTCAAGTATTTGTAGACAGCTGCTACATTCCCCACCAAGTCTTCTCCAAAAGATTTAGTTTGTTTTCCAAACAGATGCAAAGTAATAGTTTAATCAGACCTGCCTCCCTTACTATCTTTCCAAATGGAAAAAAAAAGAGGAATACATGTGAAAAGTGAAAAGAAAACTGGAACAAAAAAAATTGAAATACATTGAAGAGGCAACCTTAAAAGTTAAAGCAAAGAAAATTTAGTTGGAACAAAAGTGTGTAATCTGAAGGTCCCAGGGAGAAAAATACTTTGTACTGAACAGGGATCAGAAAGTTAAAAGTTAGAAAAAATGTACTTTTTATTAAAAGTTTGGCAGGAAATATGAAAAAGAACATGAAATGTTGGTTTATACCTAGATTGCATACATGCTGTCATAAATCTGTGCTTGTCTCAAAATTTTATGCTTGAAAACTCTTAGTTTTAAGAAAAACTTTAACTCAACTGCTATACTACAGAAAATAACTACAGTTAAATTTGATGTCTTTCTTCTCAGATCCATTGGATATCACTGGATAGCAGGATTATTCATTGGCAAGGCAGCCTCTTCTTTTCTAACTTATTTTTGGAGAGAAGATTCAACTGTCAGGAAAAGTTATTTATCAATTGGGAGAGAAAGCAATATTGCTTTGCTCAGTAGGTAGGATAGTAAGAATGAGACAGAATTCACTTTGCCTTCATAGCAAATAAGAGAGGTAGATATAAAGAAAATTCCAGTTAAAAATGATTACTATTACATTTCTGGTACTTACTTGCTAACAGTATCTTTCCTCGTTCTTAACATTTCTCTATCACTCCTTACTTTATGTAATATTGGGAACACAGCCTAATTTGCTTTACATTAATATAACATTAATTCAGGCTCCAATAATACAAAGGGTGCAATTATTTGTCTGAGGTGGTATCACAGATTTATAGTGCTATCAAGAGATTAAGGAGAATATATCTAATCTGCTTAAAGAGGAAAAAAAAATTAAGAACTTCAGCACACTGATTGCATGCAAATTATGCTAATTACAATTGAGTTTTTTTTCAGTTAATTTAAGCAGATAACATGACTACACCTCACTATGTTGTAAGAAGTTTGATAAAATTATTTGAAGATAATCTAAGCATGACTCAAGATTGTTAACTTGAAATTCAGGCTGACCTTTCCAATTAGACTAGATCAGGACGCTTATCATGTATTGGAGTTATTCAACAGGTTTTTTGGTAACTACAATTTGTACACTGATTTATCCCTTGCCAATATTTCTGTAACTATTCTCCTCTCAAAAACAGTTCTACATTGGAACTTCACTATTTGTCACATCATATAATTAATTAGAAATCAAGTCTACTTCAGACATCATCTGAGAGACTTATTCAAGTACCAGAATGACTTTGTTATAAATTTTTTCCTACAACATACTTTAGCTCAATATAGCAGATACCAACTTGAATGGATTGTGAAGGTTTTTATATATACATTAATTGGCATTTTTAACATACACACTTAAAAGTTAAATAAACTTAATATTACAGCTACAGTTATATTTTATGTATATGTATATCTTTCTTATTTTTTCATCATCTTTATTCAATAATCATATTCTAACATAAAGCTTAAGTCCACTGAAGTCCACTTAAGTCAAAGATAGAGAGTAATCATCTTGGAGTTGAAATGGGTTCTAATACCATGTTTTTCATTGTGTAGGCTTAGACTTTTATTTTTTTATTTTTTTTTTTTTAGTTCTAAATTCTCTCCCTCCCTCCTCCATGCACTGAGAAGGAAAGAAATATGATACCCATTACACATATATGTATATTTTCAACAAAACTGTTTTATATTGAACTGGGGCTAGCAATCAATTAGTCTTGATTGGCTTGAAGCTGGACTTTGTGGATGTCATGATCTTACTTCGGCTAACTACGACATATACACATATATGTGCTTGTCCTGTAGACTGGTTTAGAGAATTAAAGAGATTTATATTTTTCCTTCAAAATGCTTTGTGCATATGATAATAAGTTGAACATACAGTTTTTGAGATGTCATTCAAAGTTCCATGTTTGGAAGCTAGTATTTTATCATTGTTTTATTCCCCACGGTGTAACATAACTGACACAATGAAATATTCTGCACTGTTTATATTCACAGTCCACCCTATATGGCTCCTACAACTTTATGATGTAGGAGTCAACATGGGACACTTATTTTGGGTATTTCATACCTGTCTCTGATGAGACTGTTGAAATGACATTTAACTATGAATTGGAGGATACAGAACTACTCAATTACAAGGAACTATCTTCAAACACTCCTAAAACCTACTATAAATTTTTATCATAGGACTTCAAAAATTTGGATACAGTAGTTTGACTTCCACATACCTTATTTCAGACTGAATTCTCCTTTTCAGATGCCATTACCTTGGATGTCATTTTCTTCCTAGGCATGAAAGGGTTTAAAATTATGTAAGATACTATGATGATCTCTCTATTCCTTAGGTGGTTTTACCCAGAGATTCTCAACCTTTTCCACCATGAGCACTCAAATATTCATATCCACAGATCAGGCATACTGCTCTATGTTAGTATGTCTTTCTTTACCTTTCATTTACATTCTTATGATCAATTCTGCATTTTCCTTGCCAGTAGAAAACAGAAGTACCAGAGTAGGAAAAGCCAAAAGTCTAATTTTATCCAGGGTTTCAGATTTTCCAGGCTAAGACATTTCTCAGCAAAAAAAACTTTAAAAAATGGTTCATATTTTATCTTTTTCTTTTCCCCTTTGCACACTCTCTGGGAGATGTTTAAACAAGCAGAAATGGCAAAAAGCCAAGAAGTGAAGAAAAGCTATGGGTCTAAGCAACTGGCTCTTTAATATTTAAAAGTTGGCTGTAGAAATCCACATTATCTAACTTCATTGCACATTAATTTTTTTGTTTTGTCTTATTTTCTCCAATTTTTTCACATTGTCTCAATACCATTCATACACAGAGGTGAAAGGAGTGATACTCCTCTAACTCTCACTCTTCCCTTTAGTGACTTACGCTCACAAGAATCAATTTCACCCAGCAAGTATTGTTTCTGAAGCTACTAAACTTTATGGTCATTCCAAAGAGGCTGAGAATCCCTAGTATAACCAGAGATATTATATATGATCTTACACTTGTTATCTTAATCAATCATAAAGGAGAAAAGCTAATAGTCTCCACATTCAAAAAATATTTCCTCATGCTTATTAGCTTTTATAAGAAAAACAACATATTAAAGATCAATCCTACTGTAGGAATAAAACATGCAAAACATCATTTTTATAATTAATTAATACTATGGTTACATGTAGATTTTGGTAGATAATTTGCTAAAACAACTTTCTGGTCAGTCAGAGAAAATTATTTTAACCATTACACAAAAGTAACATGAGAATATAATAGAATGAGACCTTTTGTTTCAAGATGATAAAAAGGTGATTATATAGTTATGACACTTTTAAAGTTTTACATGATGTAATATTTTGCATAATCATCTGTAAATATGACAAATAAATCATCTGTAAGATATCTGCTTATTTTTTTTCGTTCATTTGTTTTTTTAGAAGTAATGTCATTCATGTGAATATTACCATGTGACCAAGATAGAGACAAGTGCTTAGAGAATATGCTATGACAAGAAAATTATCTGTGGCTAAAGTAAAAGTATTCAGAATTCTTTTTATATCCACTTCTCTGAGCACAGCAATAAGCAGGGAGAAATTAACCTGTAACTCAGGAATGGCTAAATGGAGTATAAATTTTGGAAAAGTACTGTTAACTATACTGAGAAAAGTGAACTCATGATAAGAATAGTTTATTTATGGTAAAAAAAATTTTCCATCTTTACTAAAAAGTATACTTCTCTGGGATGAAAGTCATAGAAATGAACAGTGATTTATTTTCCCTGGAGTCCTATTGATGAGTAAGCTATTTCTGGGGCTGTAGCTGTAGGGCTACACTGTATGTTAGTTGGTACATAATGAATTTTTTAGCTCATCAGTGTACCATTTAGTGCATTAGAAGGGTTAATCATCAAATACTTATATGTCATTTACCTAAATGATTGGTTCAATCACAGGAATAATTATTGATGAAGACTACTGACAAGTAAATTAATGTCAAATGGAACATGTAAAGTGTATCAATAAGCCATAAAAAAGCAAACATACAAACAGCTCAGAGTATGAATTATCATTACAATAAATAAATACTCCCGAGTCAAAAATGGCATGCTATTTTTTTATTGTTTTCTAAATCTACACATTTGATATTCAAGTTCTGAAAACCATGCAAATTCATTTTGAGGGTAAGGCATGTGTTAAAATGACACTGATATGACAATTACTCATCTAAAAGGAATGAAATAGTTGGCCTAAACTAATCACAGAGCTTCACAGATTAATGTGATTATTAAATTCTAAAAGCTAATAACCTGTCAATAACCAGCTCAGTCCTTTTGTTCTGTAACTGGACAAATACTTCTTTTGATGAAAGATAATATAAAGTATTATTTTATGAGTTATTAGATAACACACAACAATAATGCAGTCTTCACTGGGTACCACAAAGAAGCAACTACTTAGTGCCATAATTAAAAGATTCCAATCCAGTTAATGATTCATTCATTATATTAATGAAAAGATATTAACTATTAAATACCCATCACAGTATGATTATTCAACTAAAACAATATGATCCTTATACTTTGTACATACATATTTCTTCCTACTTGTGACTATCAGGTGTGTGCTTATAAATAAAGTTACTTCTAAAGACAACAGCAGATCACTGGGGTGATTGTGATGTACTTACTAACCCATACATTCAAATATAGATATTCCAGTAAATGTGGGAATAACAATGTAAACGGAATCTAAACAATTGTTTATATTCACATTGATTTTGAGCATTTCTGTCCTCCTGCTTTGTTACAGAGGTTTAAATGAAAGGTTCCATGATGCTTTCCTCCCCAAATAAGAAAAAATGATACAACAGTTTAGGAATAAATAAAATGGGTACATTTTCCTTCAGTGATGGATATTTTTCTTCTTCTAACAATACACTATCTTGAATTGTTATGTAACTGTTTCATGTATAAATAGTTCAATTTGCTCATTTATTCATTCAAGAAATACTGGCATGCTGATTATATGCACAAGTCTCCTCAAAGAGATTTTAGTATAATGCTTTGTTCACAGGAAGCACACAATCCTTATTGGATGAAACAGTCATAACTGCTAAAAATGCAGTAACTAGCAGGCTGCTGTATTTTTTTCATAAGTGGCCATATAATTAAATATACCGATATAGCAGAAAAATCAACCATATTAGGGGAAAATGTACTATATTCCGGTTCTGATTCATGAAATGCCATTATAGCTAAGAATGTTTTCATAAGCTTAGCTCTTGAACCAACAGGTGAGTAGACTATCAAATTCAGGGCTGTAAATAACAAAGTATAATGTACCTACTCTGGCTAATAACAGGTATACCTATTTCCAGGTGTTCAGTAATATAAAGAATCAATCAAGAAGCATGGAAAAAAGGAAAGATAAAATCAAAGCTTCTTGGGCCTAACCCTGGGCACTATTAACTTAACTTTCTTAAAGTCATACTAAATTATCTGTTTAGTGCTTCAAAATATAACCATAGGGAATATTTACTTTTTCATGCAGAAAAGTGGCTCAACAATGGTTGTCAGTGGAATGTTAGCTGCTTTAGTTCAAGGGACTGTTTGTATTGTCTTTTTAATGCCCAGAGCACAGCAAAAGGCCTTGCACATAAAGGTGCTTAATAAATGCTTGCAAAATTGGATTTATGGATTACTCTATTTTATACATTATTTCAGTCTCCCAAAAAGGAAATTTTATTTTGTAGAAAGAAACTATAATAGTCTCATTTTCTTTATATTTGGAAACAATGCTTTTAATATTTAACAAAAGGTTCATTACTCTCAGATTTAGCCTTAGATTTCCACTTTAAAACACAAGGAGCCAGTTAACCACAAAAACTTTTAAAAATAAAAACTGGAATTCTATTCTTTCAATTGTTTTTTCCTCAAAGTTCTTAAAAACTAACTACTAAATTCTTGTTTGATGGGCTTTTAAGAAAATCTTGACTTTGAAGCATAATAATAATGACCTTTTTTTTCTTGTTTCCCTTAAAGAATGCTTTCTCTTTCTTCACCAAAACCTGCACTGTCAGAAGAGGTCACCGTATGAAGCTCTGAAGAATCTTTTGAAAGCCTTGTGTAATTTGAACGTTGGCTTCGTTTATGGGTCATGCTTTTTAGATTTTCATTCTGAATACCACTTGAATTAGAACTGGAACCAGGCCGCATAATAACTTGAGAGATATCCCTAATTCCTTCTGTTTCATCAAAATTTTGGTTAGCTCTATTGGACGGAGCAGTGTTGTTATTTAGGGTCATAGTACTGGGTGTTCGATTCAAGTTATAGCCTTTTTGACCAGTTACAGCTGGCCAATTTTCCTCAGGGCTACTAGCTATCAAACTGCATTCTGAAGGACTCTTCTTGTCTTCTGAGCAAATGGACATACGTGCTACAACTGGATCTTGAAGGCCACTTAAGCTATGTGGTATTCCCTGTTTTCCATTGTGGCTATCATCTTCAAGTTCTATGAGGTTGGCCTTTTCAAGATGAGAATCATCAGTAACTTCATTGTGAAGAGAATGATTTGGAGAACTTTCATTAGACCTTACTCCTGAATCAGAGGAATCTTTTTTGTCTAGGAGGGCATCTGATAAATACTCTTTTGCTTTAATGAAGGTTCTAATAGGCTCTGTGCTTTGTTCTGGAGATTTGGGCATTCTATCTACTTTTCCTTCTGCTTTTTTATCTTTATCTTCTTTGAGAAGTGGAGTATTATCTGATTCTTCTGTCCCAGACTCATCTTCATCACTTGGAAGTTTCTGATAGCGCAACCCACTTCCTTTTAGTTTTAAATCTGTCTGGAAGAGGCTTGGTCTTTCTGAAGATTTCTTTCCTGGAAGAAGCTTACTTCCAGACTGATCAGATTTTTCATCTTCTTCAGTGATAGGATCCAAAGGAGATGCATCATTAGTGGAAACACCTGAAGATGAATAATCTATAACATCTCCCCTCTTGATCAAAAATGACTTCCTTGCATCATCTTGTTTCAGTTCACTATCCTTTCCTTTTTCTTGCTCTATAGAGGAATGAATGGAGCCCCCTGATGAACTCTGACCCATATAGTATAGCCCTGTGCTGTGTGGAGAAGATCTGCCACTAATTGTTGCAGAACTTGCGCCCCCTTCTAGCTGAGACATCTGAGCAATATATTCTCTATAGGCATCTCTATATTCTGCCTGAACCTTATCAGTAAGTTTTGAGATTTCAATACTCGAATCCTGTGAATTGAGACTTGAAAGACTTGGGGTTCTGCGAGTTTGTGACTGTGAAGACAGAAAAAAGAAAATACTTTAAGAATTCAACTAAGTAATAGAGAAGAATAACAAATACCAGGAATTGTGAAATCCTAGAGTTCTCAAAAGTAATTTAAAATTATCAACATATTATGAAAAATTAATGTTATTCCACTGAAGTTCTATAGCTTAAGCAGTAGTTTTTCAATTCTGACATTATTTTTAAATTACTTTATGTAAAGACTTTTAGCAAATTCATTTAGAGAAATATTTTAAAATACATAGTAATTAGCACTTGCATCATCAAACAATCTTGGCACTTTCTTTTTATATCTACAAACTGTCACTTTGGTTGGTAAGTTAATAAGAGTAATAAAATAGTGTCATGGAAGAAAGGGAAAGAAGCAGGAGAGATAAGAAATCTTTTAACATTAAAATGTCAGTTTTCAACATAGTTTCAGAAGTTACTTCTCTAACAACTTTGAAAGATTTAAGAATTCTGATCAATGTAATGACTAACTAGTCCAGAGGACTCATAATGAAACAACCTACCACACTATCTGATAAGAGAGGTAGTGACCTCAGAGTGCACACTGGGGCATATGTTCATTAGGTTATGTGGGAATGTCCTAAATGTTTTGCTTGCTTATACATATTTATTATAAGAGTTCTGTTTTTCTTTCTTTTTTTTTTAAGGGGGAGAGGGAGGTGGATTTTCTTTAACTGAAAAAAAATTTTTTTTTAAATAAATTGCACTCCTACATATTATCACTCTGAACTTCAGACAAGTCTCTAAAACTGTAAGTTATAGATGAGTTGAGTTAAGTAAAGTAGAGGAAAATTACACACAATGGTTTCCTGCATCAAATAAGTCATGGGTCCTTAACATATGGACCATCACTATATACTGCACAGTGTCAAACACAAAAAATAGCCAATATTACTTGTTTGTGACTGTACTTTTCCACTCAAGTACCAAATTCAGGGAAGAAAAAGGTATAAGGAAAAACACATAAAGTGAATAAATGATGCAAACGAATAAGAGAAAGGAGCTACAAGGTTTAGAATTGCATTAAAAAAGATGAGATGAGACGAGAGAAAAGGTTTTCAATCAAGTTGGAATCAGAGAATTCTAGAGAGCTGCTAATGTCATGAAGAAAAAAAAAACTTGTCTGTGAATGAATCATTTTTAACATTTAATTTGAAAATGAAAAATCCTTCTTAATACTCCCTAAAGTAGTAACCAATTCTCTTCTTGAACACCTCCATAAATGGGCAATCACTATCTCATGAAGCTGTTTAATTCCATTTTTAAACAGCTCCAAGTGATAGCAAGTTTTTATAGTGAGCCAAAATTTGCCTGCTGTGACTTTCACCTGTTATTTGTAGTTCTTACCTTTATAGTAAAATAGATTAAATATAATCTCTCTTTCATATAACAGTCCTTCAAATATTCAAAGATAGCAATCACAATCCAGCTTTTCCAAGTCTTCTCTTCTTCAGAATAAATTTCCTTAATTTTTTCAACTATTTCTCTCACAATATGACTTTATGTCCCCTCACCATTTTGGTAGCCCTTCTCTAGGTGTAACCTTGTTTGTCAATGTCTTTCCTGATGTGTGGTATTCAGAATTAAAAATAATACTCCATGTATTCTGATCCATAGCACTGTAGGACTATTAGTTTTTTTTATTCTGGATGCTTCTATAAGTGTAATATAGCTTAGAGATCAGAATTACTTTAAATTTAAAAGGATTCAATAAGTGACAAGGAAAATATGGAGTAGGAAAACAAGCACAGAATCAAAGGAAAGGGGTAAGAAAAACTAGAGGAAAAAAGGTAAAAAGTAAAGATGTGGAACAATACAGTGAGCCTCCAATGAGGGAGAAATGTCTTGTTTACCTTCTTATATTCACTCACAATCTGATATTGATTACAAGAATTCTACCACTTATCAATTTAAAAAAAGGTCAGATTTTAGGTCACAGTAAGAAACATGAAGCACAGAATATAGATGAATTCTAAAGATACTAAAAACAACCCAAAAAGTAGAAAAGGAGCTAATCATGTTGGGAGGGTGGGGGACAAATAAAGGAAGGAGAATAAAGTTTTGACCTATTCTCTCTTTTAACTAGTCTTTTTAAAAAAAATTCAATATTTTTAAAAAACTCTATTTTCTAACTTAAAAAACAACAACCCAAAACCCTAGTTTTGGCTCTGAGTTGACAGGCATTAAAAGCTAGACTCTAACAACTTACTATGAAAGGAAGACAAAATGAAGAAGGAATGGGACACAGAAATTTTTTTAAAAAAAGGAAATACAAGAGAAATGAATAAAAATGTTTCCCATTAGTTCAAGAAAAAATTATCCTTATTAAATGAATAGTAGACGTACCATGAATTATATGAACTGCTTCTCCTGAATATTTTTTCCTTTAAATTGAGTTTCCTTATAGCTGATTTCTATTTTTCATTCTCTCAAATTTGTCCTTTTATCTTTTCCCTTTTCTTTCCTTCATTTCCTGAATCCTGCTCATGAATTCCTTCTCTGGCTCTTCTTTCCCTCATTCATCCTTTTTTGCTTCTCTCTTTCCTCTTCCTTTTCCTGCTCTTCACCTGTCCTCTTTCTTCCTTTTTTGTAGCACATCCAGAGAAAGAGCCTGCATACTAAAATATCTATCATTGTTTTTAATATGTTCAGTTATATTTAACATCAGATGAGACAGTGTGATTATAAAAAACTGCTATAGTTTTTTACTATTTTGTGTATATACAGTTCTGTAATGAACTTAAGTTTTAACCATTCATCACTTAATCTATTCCAATTTGAAAATACCAAATGGAATGAAATATGACCAATATTTTTCCTGCAAACAATACATTTTCCTTTTACTTCAGACTCTAAAGGCAAAATTTAACAAGTACCTGCCAACTTAAATTACTGTGGCGTGGTGGAGCTTCATCAAGACCAATAGTGTTCAGTTCTTCAAAACTGAAGTTCAATGTGTAGGGAGTGTGACCAGAAAGCTCCGTATGTGGCAATTCATTATGTAATGAACGACGAAGAGATTCGCCATGAGGGACCGAGATATCAGCATGTTCCGACATTACATGTGACTCTTCAGGAACTGGTTGGTTTTCTGCATTTCTCATATCAAGTACCTTAACAAAACAAGGAAAAACAGTATTACTGGTGCAAGTGGAAAACCAGGTTTTAAAAGTTATTTTTAAAATTCCTGGTTATATTAGACAGCAGGAAATCCGAAAATATATTTTAAATAAATTTCAAACAGTATATATGGCTACCTATAATGCCTTCAGTAAGTAATAATGTAATAGATACTGAACATTTTAAATTAAGAGCAACACTGCCCTATAATTTGTACACTATACTATCAGTATTACTTTGAAATACAATTGAGATAAAGAAAACAATGTGATATTTAATACAAGCCAGGAAAATGAACAAAGGTGCTGTAAACTAAACTTCAGCATAAAGTACATTTAGGTGTGGTTTGGCAAACACCTATATATAAAATTAGAAATGCTATTAACGTTCTTCAAATATAAGGAACAAATAAATACTTGGATTACATTTTACTGGATTAATAACAGGAACTACTTCAACTACTATTTATTTTGTACCTATCCTTTATACATGTATATGTGTACATATTCCCCCTGATAGAAAGTAAACTCCTTGAGAGCAGCTGCTTTTTTATTTTTGTCTTTGTTCCCCTAGCACTGAGCACAATGCTGGACACTGAAGAGGTACTTAATAATTTCTTGGTGGATTTCTTACTAGCTTTTGACAAAGAAGTGAATAAAAATTTTCTTACCGTACTTCTGAAAAGATGCCAGTCCCCAAAATGCATGTTCATTTCTTTCTTCAACTCATCAATGTTACACTGAGCCAGTACACGGCCATTAATATTTGCCTGATTAAATTAAAAATTGAATAAATACATATAAACACAAAAGCAACACGAAAGATTTCTGAACTAAACATTTAATCAAATTTTTTTTTTTTTGCTTAGGCAATTGGGGTTAAGTGACTTGCCAAGGGTCACACAGCAAGTAAGTGTCATGTGTTTGAGGCCAGATTTGAATTCAGGTCCTCCCGACTCCAAGGCCGGAGCTCTATCTACTGCGCCATCTAGCTTCTCCATTTAATCCATTTTTAAGATAAGTGTTACAGATCAGAAAAGGTTGTAAAGAAGAATCATTATTCATTATCATTTTACTTTAATAATCAGGATATTATTCCAACAATTTCGAAGTACTTTATTAGGCAAAAGATGAGTAAGTCATAAGCCCATCCATCTCTGCTTATTTAAATCCTACTAACACTTTTAGGGGTCAGTTTAAGTAGTACCTCATTCACTCCAGATTTTTCCAGTCTCTGAACTCTTATAGCACTTAATGTCTGCTTATTTTGGCAATTTATCATGTCCTTCATGAATTCAAAAATCTAACTTCATCAGTGTGGAAACTCTCTTCCAAAGCAAATCACAATATACTTAGCAAACATTTCATGAACAGTAGTCACCCAAAAATGACATTCTTTCATTTTAACCTTCTCACGGGACTCCCTCTTGTACTCAGCTAGCTGATTCAAGAATGAGTATTTGTCACGTAATCCTGTATTTCAAGTCCCTTCAAATTTGTAGGTACCAGTAAAGCATGCACACAGGGAGGACAGCCTTTGAGAACGCAGGCTCACTTTCATATCATGATTAGAGATTAGAATGGACTTTGGTGGAGGAACTACTTATATGCTGCATTATAATTTAACTTTTTTTATATACATATGGGAAGTACAATTCTGTAGTAATATGAGACCACTGGAGGTCTTTAAGAAATGGCTGATGTAATGGGGATTTTTTTTCAGATACGAGTTGCAGCAAATGACTACTGAGATTCTTTCCAACTCTGAAGTTCTGTGATTTTGACACCTTCCCACCTGTAAAGATGTCACTGTGATATAAAACTAGACAAATTTGGGTTTTTTGGGGGGTTATAACTATAATCATCAGGACTCTCAATCCATTAATTTATAGCAATTAAATACACATAAATGTTTGTCAATCCTTACTCAAATCTTGGTCCTCAACAAGAATAATTGCCCAGCACTAAAAGTTTGAGAAGCAGGCATTCAAGAAAGAGATAAGTAGTGGCATGTGCCACCCCCTTGACCAGCAACTCCTCTAAGAGTAGATTCTACTGAAGCCCAGGACCCTGGGAAACAGTGCCCATTATCCCTGTTTCCAGCCCAGCCCCTGAAGTAATCATTCAGGGAAGCAAACTTGTGGGAATGGGGTTCCCTATCCCTATTAACTTCCCCCAGCAGGGCAGAAAAATCTAGCCTATATGAAGAGCAAGGAACTCTGAAGGAAAAAGAAGGAAGCACATGCCAAGCAAATCAAACCATCCACTGACTCAACCATCACTTCTAATAGCTATGTTATAGCTTCTGACTCCTCAGGAGCCACAGCAGATCCAGAAAAAGAAAGTTCTCACCAAGTCATTGGCACTGTTCAACATAAACACATATGGATGTATCCAATGAAATGACATTAAAGAAAATGTGTCATTGTCATTTTTGCCATTCTACCCTAAAGTTCATCAGATTTTTCTATTTGACTTGCAGCTGAAAACTATCTCTGCACTTCTATTTGTGCACAGCACCCTCACCTCTTAACAAAGTACTCTGCATATAGCAAGCACTTAATACATGCCTTTTCTTTCATTTATTCATTTATTCAAGAATAAGGAACAAGTTTATATGATTTCTCAAATACAGTAAGAAAAGATAGGGTAGGGGCAGCTAGGTGGTGCAGTGGATAGAGCACCAGCCCTGGAGTCAGGAGGACCTGAGTTCAAATTCGGCCTCAGACACATAACACTTACTAGCTGTATGACTCTGGGCAAGTCACTTGACCCCAACTGCCTCACCAAAAAAAAAAAAAGAAAGAAAGAAAAGAAAAGAAAAAGAAATCATAGGGTAGTTTATCTCATTTGTGTAGAAGATACTTTATAATCTCTTTTAAATGGCACACTGTCCTGTTTGAAGGTTCTGGAAAGGAGGCACGGATCCTTTAAATGTATAAAAGTCTGTATCAAAGGCCTGGCTATAACTTAAAAAAAAAAACAAACAAATCAGCAAAGGTTCATAACAAGCCAATCAAATGCTAATTTTAAATTAAGTTTTACACAGATTCTAATTTCAAAGATCAGGGGAATTAGTTTGGTGGAAGACAATTATTCTCTGCTAATTAGAAAAGAATCATTCACCTTATATATCTCTTTTTCCAAAAAAGCCAATTCCTTTAAACAGATATAGAGAAACTGAGACAGAGAGAGCTAAGTAAGCACCAGCTAGCACACGGTAAAAAAAAAAAGCCCCACACTACTAAAATATTTTCATTTAAAATCAACAACAGAAGAAAAGTTTGAGGGATTTTAATAGATGGCAATAAACAGGTGCTAAAAGTCAATTAATGGTAGCTAATCAAATTATAGGCCTACTGGCTAGGAGGACACATAACTCTTTCCTTCAGTATAACTGTGCCAACCCAAAATCATTAGTGAACAATTACACAATCATAAAGCTAACAGGTCCAAAAACATCAGTTTTTTAAAAAATTGCATTAAATCTGACAAATTTTGATAATTATTCAAATCATACAAATAAATGAAAAATGAGAAAGAACACAAAAGATGAGGTTCTCAACTGAAAATACAGCTAAAAATCAAAGAGGTAATACCATTTGACTACAGTAATAGTTTCTTAAAATGCTCTTTATTTTTAGATATCATACTCATTTTACAAAATAACGGGAAAAACTGAAAACTTGAGATAATGAGGATAGAACCATGTTTAGATTTGGGTTTTTCTGCTCTTGAGGGAGTACACTTTAAGAGGTTAAATTCATTGGCTTCACCGTCTTTATACAACCTCATTTTCTCTCTTATTTAAATATTAGTCTAGTATATAAATATATACATCACCTTTTTTATTGTTGCACAGTACTGTGGTATCATACTTTGGTCTAGGCCCTCTATTTGTTTCAGTTTCTCACACACAGAATCCACATTCATTGAGTTCAATGTCACTGACTGTCCTGACACTGTTCCCTAGGGAAGGGGAAAAAATATACATTTACAGTTATTTTTAAAATGTTTTATAGGTACAAAGTTTTGTGATGCAGGTGTGCAAAATCTCATGGTGTAGAGCTATAAAAACATCACAATTAACACTGAATTCAATAATTTAAGAAATTATCATAAGGAATGGTCCAAAATCACTTGTACTCATAAAATGGGAAGGGAATATTACTTAAGACATAGTACAAAATTATTATTTTTTTTCAAAATTATTTTAAAATGTTGGATTGACAATGTGTTGCCTCACTATGGAAAAGCTGTAGTTTCATTCAAATCACAAATTTCTAAAAAAGAAAACAGAAGGCTACGACATTTAGCCACCAAGCAAGCCCAAGTGGAAGAGTGTTTTATGAATATGCCTTAATCAAGAGCAAGAACAAAAGAGATAAACTTTGAGAAAAGAAAGTATAAAAAAAAGCTCACTTATTACATAGAGAATCCAAGTGTCTACAAACACCAAAAGAAAAAAAAAACTCCCAAATACAATTATTTATGTGTTTCCTCCCCAATTCTATAATGCACCTTATAGAATGCCTTAACCAAAATAAAAAAACAAACATAAAAATCCTAAAGATTTCTGGTATCTGCTATATTTTAAGTAAATGGTGGTAGAATTTCAAATTTCCCTTGAAACAATGCATGCAGCCCACCATGAAAAAGAAAAGTAAATTTACTTCTTAGTTATGTCATTAGTTGAAGATACCATAGTGAAAAATTTTAAATCTATTATTTAAAAGGCAAAAATAAGAGTAGCTTGTAATAGTTATTTTATAGCAAGAACAGATCAATATGGAGTGATATACCACTTTTCCTGCTCCCCTCTGTTGATTCTGCATCAGGATAGGGATGTGTAAACACTACAGGGAGAATAAAGAATGTCTTTAATTCTTGTACTCACCATCATAAATACCAGCTGGGGGAACTTGATATATCACTCTTAGTAGAAACCAAGACCATTCTAGAAGATCATTTAAGAAACCTACCTCCAAGTGAAAATTACGTGATCTGAATTACAAAGGATAGCCTCCAAGACTACTGTAGAACGTTGTTAAATGTTAGATATTAACATGGCATTGAACTCCAGTTGAACCATACACAAAAGACATTTGTATTTGTAGGTGTATGCCATCCACTCCACACACACTTATAAGTACACTGTATTTTGTGTATACGTATGAACATGTTTGGAGTAATAGATGAAGTCATACAAATGGCACTTAAATAACCCCCTCATGATTTCCAGCAAATTAACAACCAACTCCAGCAAATTGACAATCACATCATTGACAGAAAAAGATGAGGAAACCATGATGTAGAACATACTGGAGGTAAAAGCATTCATTTTATTTAAAAATACATAATCACAAAGAAAACACAGATGCAAAGTATATCACAACAAAAAGAGTAGGGTATCAGGTGCTTCAGAAAAACAAAAAAAAATTATCAATATTTCTACAACAAAATTATAAGTATTATTTACTTTTTAATGTTTGGTATAAGTATTATTTACTTTTTAATGTTTGGTATTATTTTAACTGAATTATGTCACTGAATATCAAATAAATCCTAAAAGAATTGTATTTCCTATAGAAAATACTATTGTATACAATATCATGAAGCTTTTTTAGGGAATATCAGTAAAAAGCAAAAACATACTGAATCACATCATAGTCTTAAAATTATCTTACTCATAAAAATGTTAGATTCAGTTAAATTAAAATTTTAAATCAATAATCATTAGTCTATAATTTAGTAACAAACACTACTAGCTATGTAAAAGGCAAGAATATATTCAAAAAGCATAGATTTAAATATTTAAGATATATCTAGGGAACACTTTATTCATTTGTCTAGACAGAGGCAGATTACTAGGCTAGAAAGTACATCTATGGAATGTATTCTATTCTCTCATCGTGAGGCAACTTTTAACACTAGGGAAAAAATGTCTCCATGTAACAAGTACTATTCAAAATAAATTACTAGTTGAATAACAATATATAGTTATGTGTAAAGGATCAACATGCTTACTATTAGATAAATGAATTTTAAAGGCACAAAAGTCTGTAATAGATGAAGAACTAACTAAATTTAAAAATCCTCAGAGAGCAATACAGATCCATCTAAGACCAAGGAAATCTAGGCAAGTGCAAGCTTAGTTTAATAAAAAATTTTATAGTCATAAACAATGATAACTATCATTGTGGTTAAAATATAATGTAAGATAATATATATAAGAAAGGTCCTTAGAGATGAATTGGTCCAATCCCTTGAACTTAAGAAGGTGAATGTTTAAACCATCAGTGAAAAATAACAGTGTATCCTTAAAGATTTTGTAGTGTGCAAATATTCCAAGAATTCCCTCAAAGACTGTAATTACATGAAAGATGTAATTGTAGGCTATTAGTAGGTTCTAGATACTTTAAAGTAAGTAGTTTCCCTAAATAAGCAATAACTTGTTCATTTAAAATTCATTAAGTTTTATATTTAGATAAAATTCTTATTATTCAATAAATTCAAAAAATCTAGGAACATTTATAAAACGTAAAATTTCATATTACTGTAGATACTATGTGCTCTATGATATATTTATTCTTTGCTTAGAACTATAGTTGAATGTGTTTATAAAAATTCACTCTAGACTACTTTTTAGAACAATGCACAAAATGTTTTTTAGTCACCTGCCCAACTTGAAGATACAAATCTTCAAAGGCTAAGAAAAATGTAATCTTTATTTAAAAAAATGAATAGACTGATACTAGGTCCAGCATTATATTCAGGCTAATGTCATATGATAAATTTTTCACTTGATGAATTTGCATAGGAAGAAAGAGAATTCTAGGATACAATATAGCTATTTAAAAAATAAAGCCTTTACACTGCAGATCACCCTTTACTTTTGGATACTTTGTTCTGTTTTCACGACATCATTATTTCCTGGTTCTTCTATCTAACTTCTCCTCTTTCTCCTTGTGTTGATTCTCACTCAGGTTTCTCCAGCTAACAGTGAGGGGTCTCCCAAAGTTCTGTCTTACGCTATGCTATCTTATCTCCTCTCTCTATACTACGTAATCTCAATTCCAATGATTTTCATTTGTATTTCTATGTATATGGTTCTCAAATTGACTTCTCTAGCCCTAATATTTCTAACTTCCAGTCTCACATCTCCAACTACCTTCTAGATATCTCAAAGCAGATGTCCCAGAGACATCTTAAATTCAACATGTCCAAACTGAATTATCCTCTCATCCCCAAGTTTTCCTTCTAACTTTCCAACTAATGCTAAGGGTAGCACCATCCTCCTCCTCCTCATCAAGACCCTGTTGTCAACTTTGACTCTTCACCCTCTCTCATACCCCTGATAATCTGCTGCTAACTCATGTCCATTCTGCCTTCTTTCATTATATCTCGTATATTCCTCCTTCTCTCCTCTGACTTATGACCACCCTTGTACAGGCCTTTATTACTGCATGCCTGGACTACTTTTGCAATAGTGTACTTATTGGTCTTCCTGCCTCAAATCTCTCCTCACCCCAATCCATCTTCTACTCAGTTGTCAAAATGATCTTCTAGAAAGAAAGATCTGATTATGTCAGCCTCCTATTTAAAAAACTACAGTGTGGGCATGAACCTCCCTTCCTGAGGACAAAGCTATCCCAGGAGCAGACTGTATAACAATACTGGCCCTTGATGGTACTACTAGAGTTGGAAGAAGCTAGAAAACTGAATGCTGGTGAAGAATTGGTACTTTCTGGGTCCTCAAGGCCATACATTTTATAAACTACTCTTGTCTTCCCTTTGGGCCTGGACTTCCCGTCCTGAGGAGAAAGCTACCCCAGGAGCAGACTGTATAACAATAATGG